GTACGGGTTACTTTTTTACACATTGTGATGAATTAGAAACGACGACTACGACAAACTCGAATTTCAACGTGCCGCCATGTTGGGTCTGCAGTGTGACCTTTACCATGTTGACCTCATTATGCATGTATTTCCGCGCCCACCTCATTATAATATGTGCATCATGAATATTTAATAGCAATGAATTTCCTGCAGAATAAACCAGTCAGGGTGATTTTACGCTAACACCTCCATTTCGCTATTTTTTATTTTATTTTATTTAAACTACAAAAACAAATTAATCGCTCCGACTGCGCCAGTCTAACTAAATATGAATATTCATATTCGAATCAGGTAGTCACTAAATATGAATATTCAAATCACAGCTGACATTCACTAAATATGAATATTCAAATCATAGCTGACATTCACTTAATATGAATATTTAAATCATAGCCAAGAATCACTTAATATGAATATTCAAATCATAGCCCAAATGCACTTAATATGAATATTTAAATCATTGCTGACATTCACTAAATATGAATATTCAAATCATAGCTCAGATTCACTTAATATGAATATTCAAATTATAGCCCAAATGCACTTAATATGAATATTCAAATCATTGCTGTCATTCACTAAACATGAATATTCAAATCATAGCTCAGATTCACTTAATATGAATATGAATAAATTGTCAACTCCTCTAAATTTTCTCATCATGACTAACGCAATCCCTGGTCCTGCCCATAAAGTGTCATTATTTTGCTCATAATGTGGTTACATCATGTCAATTAAATTTGTACTTAAACAGGGTCAATTCGAATTGAAGATATATGTCATTTTCATCATTCTTTTTAATATTATGAATTAATGCCATCAGGATTCTAAAAATAATAAAGTTTATTACTTTCGAAATGTCCAAAATGTGAAAATAAAAAATAAAACAAAAATGAATTAAGGACAATATTGTATTTTTACACTGGTTTCTGTAGTGACACTATTTCTCCCCTTGACATGGGTGAAAAAGATATTGTTAATGAATTCTAAAATTGTTTCACAACATAGACATTCTAATTCAGTGAGTAAGATATACAATGGATTCTTCTATCCCATAATGCATTGTGCATATATGTGTAGTAACATGCTCAGTAGTGCAAAATTTGAATTCGGTGCAAATATCTTTCAATTCACTATGTTTTTGAACAACATCTTTCAAGGCACACAACATTGTAAAGTTCTTGAAACAGCATATCGTAGCTTATTACCTCACCAAGCCTATTACACATTGTGATTACCGGTACATTGTTTTTCTTGCAGTTTACCATTAGCTGCTGTGGGATCCTTGAATGGTTTTCTGACGATATGGGATATATCAACGCAGAAACTCCGAAATCAATGTAAGCACGAGGTTGGTAACAAGTCATTACTTTATCCCCCACGCATGAACGCCAACTCCAATAATGGTATACTGTATATGCTCTTATTAAAAGTGAATCAAAAGAGAAGTGCATATATACCATAAATAATATAAGGTTATTACAAGAATTACTCAAAGTATGCACAGTACAGCTGAAATATCAACCAACGCACAGCGTGGCGTACTGTCTGAGTGCATACTTTGAGGTATCCTCGTAATAACCTTATTATTATACATCATTTCATTCCAAGGATACATCATGAGAATGCTGAAATCCAAAAAGTTCAGAACAAAATCAGCGAACTTCTTTGTGTGGAGTTCGGTCAAACCCTGATGGCAGCCATGTTTGTTTTTATTATTAGAGGACGCTTACCCGCGTAAGCATTCCATATTTGGAATTTGCATTTCCTTATATGGTAGGATGAAAATGCCCTGTAAAATACCGCAAAATTACGATGACAGATGTATAATAATATTAATTTTGTAATAAATCTTTGAAATGTTCCTTATTTTGACCATAGAAACACCACAGTCTGTAATTTATCTAAGCGCATGCACTACTGATAGAGTAAATACAGTACATCAAAATTTGAATTTATTGCATTGTATACATATTGACATAGCTCTGTCATTAATAAAGCATGTGCTTACTAGAGTAAAGCAAATACAGAAACTGCACAATAAAACCTAGAGGTGAATTATTGTTTTGAACATTGTGTAAGCAAATATAATTTGAACCAACAATCAAAGAAGCAAAAATAATCACCAACATTTGGAGGTGCTGACATTCATCGAAATATTAAAAGTAAAGTTAAACATACAATACATTTTTAAAATAACAAATTGAATGTAAAATGCAAATTATATTGCATAGTTGTCATAACAGTCCAAAATTTAATTAAGGCAGAATGCTATACAAAAGTAGGTGTTGTCATTTTCTTAATGGGTTTCTTAATGAATTTAGTTGTCGCCATACAATGCATTTGAAATGACATGTTTAGTCTTTTTTAGGACATTTTACCATTGTTTTCTATGGCAAGAATATACATGTATCTCAAAATGTTGCTCTGTGACATATGCAAAAACAAAAGATATGGTATCTTACAAGATTGTATTTAAAAAAAAAGTGACGATATCTTAGAAGGTTTTGAAATGAGGAGATCTCTTGTGGTGAATGAAAACATCTGCCAAAATGCCATTTTATGCATAATATTTTATCATTTTTCCCAAAAGACAGATTAACAGCGAACCAAAAAGGTTAAGATGTTGTTGATTAGTACTAAAACAATTAGTGGTAGACAGATTTTGAAACCAATTTTTTCAATGCTACATGCAATAATATACATGTATGTGCACATGTAAACAATTCACGACCGGCATTCATTTGTAAGTGATGATACAGTTAGCCAAGTAGCCACCTACACATTGACTCACTATTAACGTTTTCACCACCAGTTCACTCTGTTCATAACAAATTTACAAAATAGTCCAGTTTATAGTCTGCACAAACATGGCCAAAGTTTTTGAGTGAAAAATGAAAATTGAATCAAATTTTGTCTGTTGTCTTCAAAATTAGGGTTCATTTCCAGAAATATTGAAGTATATAAGAAATAAGTGCAGAAAAATTAAGGCGAGAAAGTCTGGTGATGAAAAGGTTAATTGGCAACAAAACTATAATTTTATTACTAAATAATATTTTTTTATTTGTAGGCAGGAATAGTGCGTCTACAGTGGGATTTATCTTCACCTATGGTGTACACAAGTTGTCTGGATGGTAGTGTACGACTCTGGGATGGTAGATCTGGGCAGCTTCTAACCCTATGGTCTGGACATGTTGCAGAGATACTAGATATGACATTAACAAGGTGAGAAGAAATTATGTACTGATATCAAATCACTATAGAAACAGGGCTCAATTAAAATTAAGGCATAATTAAATGATACCCCCTCCCAGATGCATCAAGTTGAGTGTTTTGAAATTTATTGACTACAATGCGACTGTCACAACCTTAAGTTTGGTCAATGGGGAAAGGTCCTTCTGAAATTACTACATTATTAATCATTATTAGTATGCTGTATTTATTTATTTATTCATCTTTTTCCAGGGATGGCAACTCACTGGTGACAGCATCTGGTGACAGCACAGCCCGAGTCTTTACAGTGAACAAACCCGACAGGTGAAAAAGAAGAAGAAGAACTGTAAAAAATGTTTATTCTTGTTTTTTAAACTGAAGAATTGCTGTAATAATTGCACTTTAAAGAAAATAATGTCTGTAAATTGTACCTTGTTGTCGGTTTGATAGTAGAAACATGGATGAAAACAATTTGGAATGAGGAATACATAAAATAGGAGTTGAACAAGTGAGGGAATGTTAGCTTCCTGACGCTTTGTTTGCATATGTTTTTGTAAAGTACGGTAAGTCAAGAAGTGAAAAATTAGGAAACACTAATTCCATCTCACTTCATATCAGTATTAAAGTGATAGATAAGAATCCCTGGGTTTGCACCATGGAATCATGGGATACTATTATCAACATTGATGACACTTATCCCCACTGTTGTAATTTCTGAAAATTTACTGACTAAAACTGACATTGTTGAATGAATTTGACTTCAATTTTTTTGACATAATTTGTATTCAGATGTCAGTGCTCTCTATCATGATAGTAGTTTATTGTAAAAAAAGTGTATTATGGTACAATTTACATTAAATCTATGTAAACTTGAGATCTTTGTTGCATAAATTAACAAATTTACTTTGTGTCGATAGTAAATAACATACTAGTACTGTGCACCTCTTCAATTTGACAACAGATAAACTTGTGGATTACGAGAGTCGAAGTGAATTGTAAAGTGTTGTAGCAGGGAATATTTCACTTGGTCCTTAACAACGTCTGCTGTTTTTTTTTATACAATAAATATCGGCAATCTGTAGTGACATTCAGCAGTCGAGTTTTAAGACAAGTGTCTCTCAGTTATTGCATATGCTTACAAATTATGAAAATGTCAACATTTCAAAAAATATAACTGTTTCCAGTAATACAGAGTGTATCTGTAATACAGTCAGTTGGTGGCAGTCTATTAGTGCCACTGAAGTGGTTCTTGATGTACATATAACGATGACATGGTAGTTGACATGGCCGCAGTAATTTGCTTTGACTTGCATACAGTCTCTTGTTTATTTTTTGGTGTTTTTTTCAACAAAATATGGGATTGCGTAAATGGCGAAAACTGGGTTAGCACAAAATAAACAAGGTTCGCGGGAACCCAGCTTTCTTCATTTATTTACACATTTACATATTTTATTTTATTAAAAGAAATAACACCAAAAAATAAACAAGGAACTGTATGCTAGTGTATTTGTCCCAAAGGTTCTGCATCGTAACTTCCAATATATTCATGATTAAACTGCTGGATCAGTCACCTTGTGATCAGTGACCTTGTGATCAGTCATCTTGTGACCTTGACCTGATACAGGTATTTAAACTAGAATGCATGCAGAATATAACGAACATATCAAGGGTGAAACAAAGTATGAAGATTTATTGAAGAGCGGTGGTCGTCGCGCAGCGCATGTTCGAATTTCATGTAAACAAACAATTCATTTTACATGAATTGTGTATGATATGAACTCCATATCAATTAGGACCACCCTTTTAGCATTAACAACTAAGTTTATTTCAACAAATAAATTGACTAAACATTTTGCATTGATGGTACATTCATTATGCATTTTTAGCTCCGCTGTCGACTTTGTCGAGCGGAGCTTATCATATGAGTGATTGTCCGTCGTCCGTGTCAATGTTTTACTTTTTCGACTTCTTCTTGAAAATTACAAGCCTGAATGCTTTGATACTTGGTGTATATGTACCTGGGGTAGACCTCTCTCAGATTTGTTCATTTCATGATGATATCTTCAATTCTCTAATTTTGATGAATATTTTTGTCATTTTTGGTAAAAAGTGATATTTTCGACTTCTTGTTGAAAACCGCAAGTCCAATTGCTTTGATATTACATATATAGGTACTACATGTGGACCTCTCTCAGATTTGTTCATTTCATAATGATATCTTTAATTCTCTAATTTTGATGAATATTTTTGTCATTTTTGGTAAAAAGTGATATTTTCGACTTCTTGTTGAAAACCGCAAGTCCAATTGCTTTGATATATTATACATATAGGTACTACATGTGGACCTCTCTCAGATTTGTTCATTTTGTAATGATATCTTCTGCTCTTTAATTGCCATGTGCATTGCTAACAGCGGAGCTATCTCAGTCGACAGGCTGCTTGTTTCATTTTATCATATATTGATTGTAATTTTATCCAATTTTTCATCTTTTTTTTTAAATTGTGTTTTGGCCATCTTGATATTATTTTATTTAATATTCTTAATGGGAAATTTTCTCATTGAACAAGCAAATTAAGTGATCATTGATGACTACTCTTTAGTTTAGTTGGAAAATTTTATTTGACAAGTTATTGGATTTTTGTTATTGAACAAACTTTGTATTCTTGTCACATCTGGGTTTTTTTTCTTAGATTTTAAAATGGTTACCATTTTTGGCTTCCACAAATGGGGAAAATCAGTTCTCCATGCTCAGTTCATTGACATCCAAACTCATTCAATTTAATTAGGTAAAAAAATTGAAAATTGTATAATTTTTCAGTTTTCAAAAAACAAAAACTATAGTTTTAAAAACATTCAATATCATGTTGTGGTGATACTGATAAAAGAAATGTCATAAAGATATAATGTGAATATTGCGTGAAATAAACCACAATTGGTGTGCAGATGAAATTTAAATGATCAATTGTATGTACGGTATTTGCTCAATAAAAAGCACACCCACAATAGAAATGCACTTAAATCTAAAATTGCAAATATAGTATACTGGATCATTGATATACAGTTCATGTTGACACTTCTGTCAATTTGACTAGGATGTATTTTAATGAAAATTTTGTTGTGTATTACTGTAAAATGACTAATTTTCACTGGGTTTAAATTTCGTTGATTTACCATTTCAGGCATATTCAGTGGGTTTTAAATTCACGGTTTTATCATTTAGATAATGTGTTCTATGCTAAATTTTACATTTTCACTGGGTTTTAATTTAGCACATTTTCCAGTCAGCGAAATAAGCGAAATTAAAACCCAGTGAATAATTAACCCCTTTACAGTAACACTCATTGCTTAATGCGTTAAACCACAGTGTGGAGGGACTGTGATTAAGCATTTTAATCATTTGGTCAAGCAAAGAATATATCAACCAAGTGTTTGCATCATATCAAATGGCTGAGATGAGGGGGACAGGGCTTGTCCGGGTTATCATTTTAGCAAACAGACAATGGTGAGTTTCTTGTAAGTAGTGCTTTTTGTTTAACGATGTACTAGTATGTATTTTTCAATATTTGAAGTCACAAGGCTCAAGACCTCATTTTAATAAAATCTGGTACTGCCAGCTTGCAGGCAGTCTAGGACATGTTTGTTTGCTGTCTGATTTTATGCGACTTAATCTACTAACAAGTATTTACCTGTAATTTACATCATTATGGGAATATTATGTTTTATCATAATTAAATATTGAAATGAGGCAACCTTATATTGTGTTTTCTATAGTGTAGCGTAAATCACTCCTCGCTCATGTCTCGCTACCAAAGCTGCTACTCGAATGTATAGGTTTAGCTTGATATCACCCATTCATGGTCGTTGAGGACAGCACAGCAAAATTCAGACACCAAAACTGTGATGTCAAATGACCACAGCAAGGATATTTGAATGCGTGTCCATCCCTCAGAAATTATAAATTTGTCTTTCACGTTCACCATTCTCCCATTTAATATAGATAATATTAGCACTTCCGAGTCGTTGGTATCGTTAAGGTATCCAGGTCAATTTAGCAATTCATTCCTTCATAGAAACTATTACTCGTGAATGGCTTGTCATTTGGTGTAATTTCATCAAATTTAGATGGCAATTGAAAGTAACAATATGTAGATGTTCCTGTGTTACCAGATGTTCATATATGCCAATATAAGGTGATACAAACAAACACTACGTTTTTATAAAGTTTTTAGTACCCGATGAGGTAAAACCTGTTCTCAGATGTTCCAGGGACTCAAACCAAGCAATCGGAAAAATTCTACGTCCGACAGTTAGCTAAGCTGTATTACTTTAAAACGTCACAGTTCATTGTTTCGTGTTCAGTATCGGTCCCATACGACGGATATAAAGCGTATACTAGTAACTTGCATTGTATACACAAAATACTAACGCGAGCCGCGTAGCCGTTATACCGCTTTACAGGGCGCCACTATTAATTTATGGAGTCAGGAAGACTCGGAGGGGGGGGGGCGAAAACGTGTAAAAAGGTGTTTTTTAAGCTAAAAACAGTTTACGCGCGTTATGCACTTTTTTCCATGATACAAAAATGACAACAGTATTCACGTACGATCAAAATCATCACGTATCGAGTGCGTTCACAACAATTATTCTTTAAACAATTTCAGTCAGTGAAAAGCTGTTACAATTGTGGATTGTAAACACGTGTTTGTGGGCTTTTTAAAAAGCCCATGCGCAAACGTTGGTACCAGGTATTCTTTCGAGTTGCCCCCGGGAAGTTACATTTTGGTTTCACTATGCGACCCTAATGTATTCATTTGCGTACGTAACTTGTGTATAATAACCAGAATTCACGCAGCATACACTCTTGCTGCAGTTTATGCAGCTCTCTTGGTCGTGGTAGCTTAAGCGGCAAATAAGAGCTGCTAAACTGCAGCAACATACACTCAAGTATTTTCCAAAATAAAAATGAAAATGATTGACATATAGTTGGCATCTTCGCATGCCGAGGTCCATTTATTCGTCCATCACATCATCACTAATGCCTTAGCAGGTTCTATTCGGAGGGTTTATATTAAAAAGCTATTAAAGAAATACCATAAACATAGCGGCGAATAAAATAACGTTTAGCATTTTCACCGCTGGTGGCGTGCTTGTGAAAACAAATTACAATCGAATGTAATGACATGGTGACAGACAAACAGATGACTCCCACACTTGATTTGCACAACAACTTTTTGACTGACAGTATAAGCTCGTCACGTACACACTAGAAAGCACATTCCTTGGCATTGTCAGCCTCACTGTGACAGGAAATTATCTCAGCTCTCCAGCTGCTCACTTGTTTTTGACCAACGCCCTCATTCGTGTCACGTGAATACCCGCTTGAACATAAACATCTTACAATGCATTTTGATTTACTAGTATCCGTTATTCGGACTTTAATTTCTTGTGTTTTTTTTTTTTAGTTGACTATCACGACATCATTAGTTATTTTTGAAACCAACTTGAACTTTTTAACTTACTGTAGGCGTAAGTCAGTAGTTATGTAGGTCACCATTAATAGAGGTTGTTTATGTAGCCTATGACCCGGATCCTGTAAGAGCAGATTGCCATATCTTATAAAAAACCGTCTGTGTCCTCATATCAGAATAATGAACATTGTCATAGTTACATGATAAATGACTAACATAAAATTGTATAATAATAATAATAATAATAACAAACGGTTGATCTGCATGTTTCTTTGGTCGTTGTGTTCAATGATAGTTCAATGTTTTCAATATAATCAGAGTATAATCAGAGTCACCGATCGGCTTGTGGACTGACTGAACAATAAATCGCAGTTTTATTCCGCCCTCTGGTGCCCAATTCAACTACAATCCCGAAATAAAGATTTGGGAATTGAGTACACCAACAAAATAATGAATTATCATAAACTTCGGGGTGACAGGAAAGATTTGGAAATGTCATGCTAGACACTGCAACATATAGAAGTTCTACCGAAATATAATATTGGATGGTTAGATTCCTGGGTAACGTCTTCGACATTGGCATGGCATAAGGCGTGCAAATATTAATGTGGTGATGTTCATGCGAAACCAATTGTGTTTTGACTGACAGTGTGAGCTCGTCATGAACACAGGAGAAAACAGATTCAATGGCATTGTCAGTGTTGCTGTGACAGACATGGTAGTCATCGTTTTAACAATCTTCTCTCCAGTTGTCCACTTGACCCACGCCCTCATCATTCCGGCCTCGATGTGAATACTGACTTGCATTTGAATGTTTCATTATTGTTGTCGGCGCCAATTCCTACTTTCCGATTCTTTTTAGTCCCATTGTAACGACTGTTAGCGATGATTCCTGACGGGAAGGACGTAACTCAAGCCCCATGTTATGTAGGTCACTGTTTAAATGTTCTCTGTCACGTTGGAAAGTATTCCGTTTCAAAACACGTGAGGCTCAATGAATGACAGTGTGCTGTTTTTTTCCCTAATTCTATTTCTGAAAGCCGTCGCACTCGGGTACACAACAAGAAAATGCACAATTAGCGGTACAAATTTTGGCCGAGCACGTTACGCAACTGTTATATTCAGGGTATAATTACGATCAATAAACGCATTTAGAAGAATAAATTGCCCGGCTAAAATTGTTTAAAATTTTCACTGAAATGTTCTCTCAATCATAGCTCTGATGGTTATTAGATTTAAAAGGCGCCCAAGAAACATTTTCAGTAGAATGTAATTTCAAAATTTGCAATTTGCGCAAGATAAAAAAAAAAATCTTGTTTTTAGATCCGCGTTGTACGTGAAATGAGTGTTAATTTCGCTTTTCCATGCTTAAAAGTCACTGGTAAGCAAGAACTGGTCGTTCGCATCCGAAAATAAAATAACGACATTAGTCGCAACTTCCGTTATCAAATACTATATGTTCCTGTTAATAAAACAACTATAGACAACGTTTTCACAAGAGACAGCGAGCTAATTTGGCGTTTTTTTTATCTACATTTTGACTATTTCAAGTATTATATTTATATAACAATCACAAAAAAAAAGTCCAATAATAAGGTGAGTAGCAATTTTTATCAAATATGCTAGAGAGAGATCGCAGAGCTGTTGATAACACTGGCCATAATTGCCCGATGCAAAATTGAAATCGCTTGGTCCGAATGCTGTAATGTTATGAGAGTAAAAAGATATTTCAAATTATGTAAGATTTCTTGAAATAGGTTCGTCACGGTGATGAATGCCAGCCTATGGTGGGAATCAAGGGGTACTTTGTTGATGGGGAAATTATGTTGACCTTGCCACCTACTGGTAAAATTTAACTAGTGTATTACTAGGCAACCGTGACACCCCGGGAGAGTAGAAAGTTGTTTTGGGCAACGCCCTCACAACACTACGCTCCCCATGGTGTTACCGTATAAAATATATAAAGAATTTGTCACTGTAAATAGGTTAATTATTCACTAAGTTTTAATTTTGCTTATTTCACTGACTGGAAATGCGCTAAATTAAAACCCAGTGAATATGTAAAATTGAGCATGAATTTAAAACCCAGTGAATATGTCTGAAATGCTAAATCAGTGAAATTTAAACCCAGTGAAAATTAGTCATTTTACAGTACTTTTAGATGCGATGGCAATTTGCAAATACACAATAAATACACATCATTAGTAAATAATTTAGAGTGTCAAACCTCATCTCATCAAAATAAGAAAAACAAAAGCGCGGTTTAGCATAGACCCTAGTGTTTGTGGTTTTAGTGACTTTTACGAAAGATATATTGGGATCGGAAGCCCACTGCAGTAATCGTCCGAATCGCACAGTTTTGCTAAAGCCGGTCATTCATAACCGGCCCACTAATGTTGAGGCTCGGGCCGCATAAATGGTCCTTCCTGGCAAAAATGACTGCAGTAGGTTAAGAAAAGAAACGAATATATAGCAAAATATTTGATTTATTTAACAATTATTTACATTTAATATTTACATGTGTAATTTATCGCAAATTTAATCACGATGAAGGTGATTAGTGTCAGCAGTTTCGCCGCTGGTGGCGTGCATCATAACACAAATTGCGCAATAATACAGCATATGATAGGAAATGATAATACTAATTATAAGTCGATTGTAGAGGCAATAGTTGGACGAATTTTTAGTGGTTGAGGTAATCGAAGTAATTTCACCGTCTCGAAGGTTAATTATACAGAGGACG